ATATGTATGGGTTGACCTGACCACTCTACCAGGGCCTCCAAACCTGGGATTGGTTAGACTCTCATAAACATTCAGATTTAGGGCCCCTGGCTTCTGGAAGCTTTCATGGTCCTCCAGAACCAGGTGGAGGCGATAGAGTCCCAACCTGTTAAGTCATCCAGCCTGATCTGCAGTAACCTGACCTAATTACAGAGTCACAGAGCTACAATACTATGAGTCATACACAATACATTTACCTACATTAATACTAGTAGCACACTAGATGGTGCTACATTCAAAGCAGAAATAAAGTTAAAAAATATCCGTTCCAATCGGATGTCTTCTCCCTGGCTTCTTCTGGGTGCTGGTTTTCAGGCGTCTTGATTGGCCAGTGCAGCATGATGCAGGAGTTCAGTCTTTCCACCACACAGGTACTGTGCAGGAATGTAGACAGAGCATGTGCAGCTCAGTGTACATTGTAAAGAGGATAGTGAACAGGCAGGCAGAAGAGACACTGTACATTTCTTTTGCAATAAAGAACCTGCCTATTCACAATTTTTAGTTCTGCTTTAGGTTGCTTAAGTCAGATGAAATTCAATCTGTGGTTGGTCCTGTCAGCTCCACACGGCTCAAAAAAAGTCAGAGCCATTGTGGAAAATTATCAGCTGAACAATGACTGCAGCCACAATTTAGGTATTCTGACAGCCATGTATGCCAACTGTCAGAATACAATAGCTGGCAGAGGAGATTCCTCCATCCAGGCTGTTCAGCATGGATGGAGGAATATGTTTCTTTCAGGCAGCCCACAGGATAGATGAGAGAAATCTATGTGTGCATGACCAGCTTTACTCTAACTAAAATGAGAACAAATGACTGAAGCATTTAGGATGATCTGGGTCCTCTTCAGATGTTCTCCTGATGCTGGGTGGTTATCAGTGATACAGAGAATAGCATTGACAGGGTCAGGACAAGGGGTGGGAAGGAGGGACTGCAGCTCTTGGTGCAGAGAAGGGGGCAAATAATAGCTGCAGAGTGGTACGCCCATTCTACCACATGCATTAACAGTGGCGGAGGGGGTGCAATTCTGTCTGTGCTGCACCCTGTATTTGTGAATAATGCAATAGATTCACTATTCAGTGGGCTGTACTCTTTACTGAATTATAAAGTGTCAACGTAGTCATGAAAGTGCTTACATTACAGTAAAAGAACATTATCCATTAATAAAATCTACCCACCCCCTGAGTGCAGCCCACCAGGTATAATACTAAGGGTTGGTTCACCCTAGTCCAAGGAGCTTTGTTTTTCTGTAGAAGAAAAATGTAGCTCTCCACAAGGCACACAGAAAACAATGATTTTCTGTGTTCCCCATTCACACTTCCATGCTGTGGGGCAAAGTGACACAGGAAAAAGCAACGTGCCTGCATTTTTCTGCACCACTCCACAGCCATCTGTGTGACCTTGTGTTTCTATGCACAGCAGATGAGCTGCTGTGCATAGAAATGAATGGAATGTCACTTTGTGATATTCCATTAAAGTTTAGGGGGAAAAAAGGGGAAATCAATGCATTGCGTTGGAAAAATGGGCACCATCTCCCAGCTGCGATCACTACCCCTTAAAAAAAAATATTTCTGTGGGTAGTGTGAACCTGTCCTAACCTTCCTCCCCAAACTTGCTATCTTTCCTGGCCTTTTCATATTGCACATGTGAACTGCAAATTAATCATTCTCAAAGCCAAACTAATGTCAGCTTCCAGCTGTCCATTATAGGACAGCTTATCCATAGGAATAAATTATGCTGGAAAGTATGAAAAGAAGCAGGCCAGAACTTTATAAGAGGAAAGAGTGCTGAAACATGGAGAAAAGTGTTATCACATATGGGCTGCATTTATGGGGCTGGAGATTTAAAAGAAAAAAAAAGAGTACTAAAAGAGAAGTTGCCATTAAAACAACCCTAATCTCTTCAAATTAAAAAAAAAGCTCCTGCAATATAAGCCTTTGAATATTTAGTTCTCTGGCAGGCAGTGAGTGTGAACTCCTCTATCTTCAGTCTTCAGCATTCAACACTTCTACCAGTGGAGGATGCCTGTGTCTCTACACATGTCTCGCTACATCTGCTGGCCCTATACCATGTAGTGACATAGGGTTTGACAGAAGAACCATCAAACACAACGTAAGACTCTCACAAAAGTGTGCCGGAGGTGAAGATTCTTCCAGAGGCTGCCTGAAGACGAGAGTCCACATTCACTGTCCACCAAGGTTAGTATTCAGAGGCTCCACCTGTCTAGCAGCTGTCTGTGGGTAGGCCCCTCTCTGGACCCCATCCCATGCACCACTCTCCAGCCTCTCATTCTATCTTCCACCTGACACTGACCACTTCCTCTCTGTCTCTCATAGTTAAAGGCTGTCCTGACCCCATGCCAAGCCTCCTCTTCACCCCCACCTACTGCCTTCTAGAAACTAGAAGTTTCTAGAGCAAGGGGAGGTATCGGAACTGACCTGCAGAGCCCTCAGCCCTGACCCAAAGTTACCTGGCTGACTCATCCCCGACTGCCATCCAGTCTCTGACTAAAAAAACTTAGTTACCCCCCCAATAAATAAAGAAAATAATTAAGTCCTACAAATGAAATATCAAAGTTGACCAAAAGTGTGCAAAATCTTCACGCAGCTGCTGTGCACCAACCACCAAATAATTATAATGCCATTTTCCAAATCCTTAGATCCCACAACTCAAAGAGGTCTAAATCAGCACTTAAAAGACGACTAATAGATGGCCCCAGCTTTCTTCCTCTCACACCTTAGCAAGCCTCAAACCTCACTCATGAATGGCATGCTCCAAAAGTGGCCACTGGATTGCTTGTCATATACCGGAATCAGCAGCAAACCCACATACCAAGGAAAGAGCAAGGAAATTCCTTGCTCTTTCCTGACTCTGTGGCCCCTTAGAAGAAGTCCCATTGGACGAAACATGTGTAGGGAAGAGTTTAGCGGTGATGTTATCATGTCCGTCTAGAGAGGTGGTGCTGTGCAATATGCTTGTCATACTGTTTTTGTGAATACCTATTTGGTTTAATAAATGTTTTAAAATTGTACTTCACTATGGGATTTCCTTGCTATATGTTTTTACTGCTGAGATCGATGTAGGAGAAGCGATCCATTAACCACTTTTGAGGCATGCCATTCATGAGAATGTGAGGCTTGCTGAGGTGTGGGAGGAAGAACGCTAGAGTCATCCATGCATCCAGGATTTGTCATCTTTTAAATGCTAATTTTGACCTCTTGAGTTCTAGGGTCTAAGGATTCCATAAGCAGCATTATGATCACTTGGTGGTTGGTGCAAAGCTGCTGCATGAAGATTTTGCACACTTTTAGTGGACTTTGATAACATTTGCAGGACTTTATTTTTGTTTGGATTTGTTTGTTATACACTATAATGTTAATTGAAACACAATTTATTCAGTTCTATAACCAAATACTAACACTCCATTGTCCTAGAGTGTCAATGCTGGTCATGGTTGTCACCCTAGGACAGGAAGTGTGTTAATGGCAGGATTAGCTGGTTAAAACAAAAGAAAAAGAAAGCTTGAAAAAAGAAAATGAATGCAGCCACTACATAGGGTAAGCTGCAATAGTTTTTCTTCTTGGGTTTAGATATGCATTAAGCTGCCCCAACTGTGTAAGATTTTCTGAAATTACAGTTGGCAGTTTGCCATCTTTTTGGGTTCTGTAAGAGTGATTCTATATGGAACTTTTTTTTTGCATGATGACCATTCTTACAGTTGGAGAATCTCAAAAATGTAATGTACACACCATTTTACTGTACTCCTTTACATCCTGTACCCCACTACACCCTGTACCCCACATGGCACTCCATTACACTCTGAGCCCCACTACACCCCACACAGCACTCTATTACACCCTGTACCCCACACGGCGCTGCAATGTACCCTGTACCCTACACGGCACTCCATTACACCCTGTACCCCACTACACCCTGTACCCCACTACACGCCACACAGCACTCCACTGCATCCTGTACCACAGATGGCACTCCATTACACCCTGTACCCCACCACTACACCCCCCCACTACATGCACTCCATTACACCCTGTACCCCCACATAGCACTCCATTACACCCTGAGCCCCACTACATGGCACTCCATTACACCCTGTACCCCACTACACCCCACACAGCACTCCATTACACCCTGAGCCCAACTACACGGCACTCCATTACACCCTGAGCCCCACTACACCCCACACGGCACTCTATTACACCCTGTACCCCACACGGCACTCCATTACACCCTGTACCCCCCCACTACACCCCACATGGCACTCTATTACACCCTGTATCCCACTACACCACACACGGCACTTTAGTACACCCTGTACCTCACTACACCCCACACGGCACTCCATTACACCCTGTACCTCACTACACCCCACACAGCACTCCATTACACCACCCTGTACCCCACATGGCACTCTATTACACCCTGTATCCCACACAGCACTCTATTACACCCTGAACCCCACACAGCACTTTAGTACACCCTGTACCCACTACTGTACCCCACACTGCACTCCATTACACCCTGTACCTCACTACACCCCACACACGGCACTCCATTACACCCTGTACCCCACTACACCCCACACAGCACTCCATTACACCACCCTGTACCCACATGGCACTCTATTACACCCTGAACCCCACACACAGCACTTTAGTACACCCTGTACCCACACACTGCACTCCATTACACCCTGTACCTCACTACACCACACACGGCACTCCATAGTACACCCTGTACCCCACTACACACGGCACCCCATTCCATCCCACAGATGTGACCCCCCCCCCTAACAGATGCACAGCTTTTAAGAAGCAGAAAGGACTATGTGTAGTTGGTCCTCGCACGTCCCGCCCCTCCTGGCTCATGTCACTTCCGGGTTCCTGTGTAGGATGGGGAGGAAGGATTCGTTAGTGACCTGCCGGGAGGGGTTCTCCTCCTCCAAGATGGCGCAGACTGTGAACATCACCGAGCTGTCTCTGCCTCAGCTAGAGGGCCTGAAAAGTCAGCTGGACCAGGTAACTGTGCTGTAGCATGGCCGGGGTACAGAGCAGCTACAGCACGGGAAGGGGGTGTGGTACTACAGGTCCCAGCAGTCACGCTGCATTAGATCCTCCTTGTCTGCAGGGGGCTGTATGTGTGTTACACCAATGCACTGGCACACTCCATGTGTTCGATCAGAGGTTGTGTGTAGTGATCACCCCACCATGAAGAGTCCAGGCTCGGATAGGATTTGTCAGTAATCCGGAGCAAGCACAGTCCATCTTTTACTGGCAGGGAAGTGATGGCTTGTCCCAGGATCTGATCCTCTGCGGTGGGGTATTGTGTCCTGCACAGGGACTGGAGCAGCTGCAGCAGTGTATGGCGACTCATGGCTTTCATGGTTCAAGCAGAGGGTGTGTTCACAATGTCCTGAGCTCACAGGACCTACCTTGTAGTACAACTGTGACCACCCATTAACAAAGCAGAACGTGCTGCAGTGCCTACCTATAGGTGGGTGCATCAGTACTTCTGGTCTCTCTTCGTTTACCTGCAAAGTCCCCCAAATGCTTGATGATCCTGCCAGGGAGGTCCACCTAATGGGGCATCCTGTGATGGCATGATAGTGATGGTGCATTGCTTGTGAATTTGGAGCAAAGATGCCACTCCTGTGTAGGGCTGTGCCAGCTTCCACTACAGTGTGCTGAAAAAACGTTTGGGGGGGAATGTGACTATCAGAATTGTCATTGAAGAGTCACAAGCCTGAATGTGGACAGTCGGTACCTGGCCTTAAGCAGACTTCCACTCACACTGTAAAAAAATAAAAGCAGCTACAAAAACTGTAGCTGCTGACTTTTAAAAAACACAGCCACTCACCTGTCCCACGATCCCGCGTTGCCCCCCGCCGTAGCCCGTTTTACCGACCGTCCTGTATTCCAGGCGCTGGCATTTTCAGTGTGGGCACCCAGCTGTGACAGTTTGCGGCTTCACAGCCAGGTGCCCACTGCACATGCACGTGTAGCGCTGCACTTCCTGAATGGCCCCGTCGTCTTCTGGGACCTGTCATGTGTCCCGCGTTGCCCCCGCCGCAGCCCATTTTACTGGCCGTCCTGTATTCCAGGCTCCGGCATCTTCAGTGTGGGCACCCAGCTGTGACAGTTTGCCTCTTCACAGCCGGGTGCCCATTGCGCATGAGCGAGTAGCGCTGCACTTCCTGAATGTCCCCGTAGTCTTCTGGGACCTGTCACTTTTGCCATGATCCCGCGTTGCCCCCGCCGTAGCTCATTTTACCAGCCGTCCTGTATTCCAGGTGCTGGCATCTTCAGTGTGGGCACCCGGCTGTAACAGTTTGCGGCTTCACAGCCAGGTGCCCACTGCACATGCGCGAGTAGCGCTGTGCTTCCTGAATGGCCCCGTAGTCTTCTGGTACCTGTCCCGTGTCCCACAAGACTACGGGGAGGGAGAGTAGGAGGACAACTTCCGATTGCCTAGGTGATCGCAGCGGGAGCGAGTACCTGTCATTTTCAGTTACCCACTCCCCCCTGCTCCCCAAAGGTGCCAATCCTTAATAGGGGACCAATCTTTAAAGTGGAACTTCCCCTTTTGGGTGGAACTCCGCTTTAACTAGTCCTGCCCTCTGTTTCTGGACACCTATAGGTGAATGGACACTGGTCAACCAATCCGAGAGGAGCTCCTCCTCTATATAACCCCTCCTACACAGGGAGTACTTTTTTCTCCAGCGTCTGTAAGGTGGATGGTCAGTGAAAGTGTTGCTGTGCTCTTGGAGCATACCTGAAAGTCCAGAATGGTTCCATTAGAGAATCAGGGACTTTATTCGGAGCCATTCGGAAAGCTGTGAGCTAAGATGGATGGTACCCGAGCCTCGCTGGATAAGGAGAAGAATCCTCAGGGCTTTTCCTATAGTGCAGGCTTACAGCGCTGGAACCCTGTGCAGTTTTAAATCTGACCAAGGTGCTTCCAGCAGGGTGCTGTACGGGTCCAAGGCAGTGGCCCCTCAGTATGGGGACTGGGTCCTTGAAGGTCTGTATGACAATGCCCGCCTTAGTGGGTAAAGTTTGGTGCCTGGCCCGTCAGTTAGTAGCCGCCCTTGGTGGCTCAAAAGGTCAGCAGTTATATTAAGTATTTTTCTTCAGCACACTACATGCATAGCTATATCTTGTGGTCTGTGTTTACTAGTGAAGGTGCACAGGTTTTACGATATCTGAAGTAATGTCTTCCAGAAAGCGGAGTGGAGGAAGTGCAGCAGGAAAGGGCACTAATGTGCCGCCACCAGGTCCTGGGGAACCTAGCCGTAGGTCGGCTGTATTATCCTGAGAGGTCAGAAGTGACTGGGCAGTCTGAGCCGCTGCATGCATCTATCTGGTATCCTGGCTCCTACTGGGGCACCTGCCTCGGCATATGTAACCAAGGATGATCTTGCTTCAGCCTTGGGGTTAGAAGATAAAATTGCTGGGATGATTGCATCAGTTTCTCGGGACTAAGAAATGGGATAGATCCCCGTCACTAGAACCACCAATCCTGGAGCAGGAATGGGTGGAACCTGAGTAGGAGGAAAAACTGGAGGAAGGTCATTACAGGACAGCTCGGTCATTAGAACTTCTGTCTGAGGAGGCACAGCTTTAGGAGAACCAGACGGTCTCTGCCTCCCAGTCTCGGAGATTTTTAGTCCAGAACCTCACAGATATGGTACGGTCTGGATTCAGGCTATCTCCAATTGAAACTTCTGAGGTTATTTATTCTTCTCTGGGCTTTTTGAAGCCTCCACAGTACTCAGGCCTTTCTGGTACATCCTCTTCTGGAGCAAACTTGTGTATGTTGACTGATATCACACAGACAGGTTTGTTTATTCCACCAAGGATGTTATTTTGATGTACCCCATGGAAGAAAAGTTTAAGTAATGGGTGTTGCCTCTAGTGGATGCTGTTTCATCCCTGAATAAATCTTTAACATGTCCTATGCATAATGTCCAGGTTTTCAAGGATCCAGCAGATAAGCTGAAATCTTTCCTTAAGGCCTCCTTCTCTCTGGCAGGTTCTGCCATACAGCCAGCTGTGGCAGCTATTGGCATTTGCCAGAGTCTTTCTGACCGAGTCAAGCAATGGCTTGGAAGACCATCAGTGCGGGGGAATACTATGCCGAGGATTTGGAGGATGTTACACATACTTTGTTTTGCGGTTGATGCTCTTAAAGATAGAATTCAGCAAATTTCTCACTTGGCCCTATTGTCAGTGCACATGCGCTGGGTGTTGTGGCTGAAGAATTGGTCAAGAGAACTGCCATGCAAACAGTTGTTGGTAGGTTTTCCCTTTCATGGGGAACGGCTGTTTGGGGAAGATTTGGACAAATGTATCCAAACAATTTCAGGGGAGAGTGTTCTCTTCTACCCTTTAAGAGGAAATCTAAATGCCCTTCTTTTAAGGTTTTAGGGACTTGGGTTGTTGGGCCTTCATCTACCAAGCAGTTGTTTCGCCACACACAGGCTCCAGCCTCGAGGGTAGATCTCGGAATCAAAACCCAAGGAGGCACTGGGTACAAAAGTCATCCAAGACCGATCCAAAGTCTGCCTTCTTATGAAGGGGTACCCCCACTCGTTCGGGTGGGGGGGGGGGGGAAGTCTTTTGAATTTTGTGGATGCATTGAGGGCTCTAATCCCAAGACAAATGAGTCATTTCCACGATATCTCTGGGGTACAGACTAGAATTTCAGGTCTTTCCCCCTCCCCGGTTTCTAAATTCAAATGTACCTATAAATCCAGAGAAAAGAGCTTTATTTCAGGCACTTCATTGCCTATTGTCTCAGGGAGTGATCACAAAGGTTCCAGTGGAAGAAAGGTTTCAGGGGTTTTATTTGAACCTGTTTAGAGTCCCAAAACCACATGGGGATGTATGGCCCGTTTTGGACCCCAAGGCACAAAATCAGTTTGTAAATGTCCAGCGTATAGAATCGGTTTGGTCAGTAGTGGCCTCCCTACAGGAAGGAGATTTTTTTTTTTAGCAGCATCTAAAGACATCAAGGACACATACCTTCATGTACTGATATTCATTCCTCACCAAAGATTTCAGCGGTTTGCAGTAGGGGCTCAGCATTTACAGTTCATAGCATCATAGAACCAGTGCAAAGCCTGGAGTGTTTGTGGATGGTCCTAAACACTGCTCAGGCAAAGGTACTTCTGCCTCCTGGGAAACGTTGCGTCCTGAGGAACGAGGTTTGCAGTTTGAAGGCCAAGAGGTATCCTTCAATTAGCCTCTGTATGAGGTTGCTGGGGAAGATGGTTTCCTCATTCAAGGCTACTCCCTATGCCCAATTCCACTCCAGTCCACTGCAAAGGTACATTCAGTCTGTTTGGAACAAGACGATTCCAGCCCTGGATTACTGCATCTCGCTGTCTCCAGAGCCTAAATTGGTGGTTGGCTGCTCAGTTTGGAGAGAGGAAGATCCTTTCTGCCAGTGGTGTTTGTTGGTTACCACCAATGCCAGCCTTTCAGGTTGGGGGGGCCGTTCTGGAGGAGGCCACAGTTCAAGGAACATGGCTTCCACGGGAAAGGGGTCTTCTCATCAATGTCCTGGAACTTTGAGCAGTGAGGCTGGCTCTGAGGTATTGTGCATCCAGGCTTCAGGGTTGGCCTGTAAGGTTTCAGTCCAACAATGCCACAGCAGTTGCATACATCAACCACTAGGGCGGTACCAGGATTCGAATTGCTCAGAAGGAGTTCAACTACGTTTTGACCTGGGCAGAGAGATATGTTTTAAGTTTCTCAGCAGTGTTCATTCCAGGTGTGGAAAATTGGCAGGCTGATTTATCTCAGCTGCTGGCAGTTGATTCCAGGGGAATGAGCTTTGCATCCTTATGTTTTCAAGGAAATCTGCCAGCAATGGGGTTGCCCGGATGTAGATCTGTTTGGCATCCAGGTTCTGCAACAAGGTCGATCTTTTTGTGTCCAGGGTAAGGGACCCTTGCGCGGCAGGGGTAGACGCCTTAGTGATTCCTTGGAGCCAGTTTTTCACTGATTTATGTCTTTCCTCTGATCCAACTGCTGCTGTGTCTCTTATGCAGGATTCAGGAGTCTATTCCTGTGATACTGATTGCTCTGGCCTAGCCCAGGGGGGCCTGGTACTCGGACATAGTGAAGGTGGCAGTGGATGGGCCATGGTCCCTGCCGTATCAGCCAGACCTGCGGTTTCAAGGTCCTATATTGCACCCAGCTTTACGGTCGCTAAATTTGATGGCATGGCTATTGAAACCCAGATCCTGAAGGATAGGGGAGTGTCGGATTCTGTCATCCCCACCATGTTGGGTGCTAGAAAGGTAATTTCTAGGAACATTAATTACAGAACCTGGAAGTCTTAAATTTCCTGGTGTGAGGTTCACAAATGGCACCCACGAAAGTATGTGGTAGAATTCTGTCATTTCTTCCAGCAGGGTTGCAGAAGAAATTGGCTGTTGGCACTATTAAGGGCCAGGTTTTAGCATTAGCTATTTTTTTTTTTTTTTTTTTTTTTTTTCCAGAGGCCCATTGCGTCTCACTCTTTGGTCCACACTTTTTTTTACAAGGAGTGATGCGTATTGCTCCTTCTGTGAGATTGCCTTTGTGTCCTTGGAACCTGAACTTGGTTTTGGAGATTTTGCAAAAAACACCATTTGAACCTATTGGAGAGATGCCACTGGTCCTATTGACTTTTAATGTTTTGTTTCTAGTGCTAATCACTTCTGCAAGAAGGGTGTCGGAGTTGACAGTTCTATCTTGCAGAGGACCATTTTTGGTCTTGTATCATGATAATGTGGTGTTGTGGCCTCAATTGACTTTTTTTTTCTTTTACCAAGGGTTGTTTCTAGTTTTTATCTCAATGAGGACATCATTCTGCCTTCATTCTTTCCTAGGTTTCAGTCAGCAAGAGAAAGATCTCTGCATACTTTGGATCTGCTATGCACTGTAAGGATCTTCTTGAAGATGACAGCACAGGTCAGGAGGTCAGATGCTCTGTTTGTGCTGCCAGAGGGGCCTTATAAAGGTGCAGGCAGCATCCAAGGCGACTATTTCACATTGGATCCGCCAGTTGATCGTTCAAGCCTATGGTTTGAAAGGTAAGGTACCACCCTTTTGGGTGAAGGCACACTCGACCAGGAGTGTGGGGGCATCTTGCAAGGCCACTACATGGTCTTCAGTTCACACATTCACAAAGTTCTACTAGGTGGATGTCAGCTGCAGAGGAATCTGCCTTTGTCCGCAGTGTTTTACAGACAGCTAAGTAGGTCTTGAGGGACTATTGACAGTAGCTATCTTGGTGTCACCCTCCCCTCAAATTTCTTACCGCTTTGGGACATCACACATAGTCTTGAATAGCCTGCTCTATGTCCCATGATGTACTATAGAGAAAACTGGATTTTTTTTCTACATGCCTGTAAAATCTATTTCTTGGAGTACATCATGGGACACAGAGGTCCCTCCCCTCTTTCTGGAATTGAATTGCTTGCTACAAAAACTGAAGTACTTACTGTGTAGGAGGGGTTATATAGGAAAGGACCCCCTCTCTGACTGGTCGGCCAGTGTCCATTCACCTATAGGTGGCTTCTAACCCACATAGTCATTAATAGCCTGCTCTGTGTCCTGTGATGTACTCTAAGAAAATGATTTTACAGGCAAGTATGTAGAAAAAAATCCATTTTTTAAATTATTTTTAAAACCTGAGATTGGGCTTCTAAGGGATCAGTGTTGCTTTGCACATTCCCATTCAAGGTAAAGTGACAGCTTTGCAAAAACATTGATACTTTTATGTGAATGGCCAAGGTCACAGTGTCTCCTTAACAGAACAGGAAGGCACCATTCACACTGGCAGTGAACAGTAGGGGTTTGGCAAAAGATTGTGACACCATCCAAGTGCTTTCAATATGTGTTAAATTGTAGGAGGAATTCCACTAGAACTAGATCAAATGAATGGTGATCTCGATGGGCATTAAACCAGGAACCCCAGTACTCCAGGCCAAGCATTCCTAATAGTTCAACCTCTAGAAATTGTTTACCAGCTTTGCTGATGTATGGTACATATTCTGTAATGCTGAATATTTGCAAATCACCAGATTGGCTCTACAGTTACTCTGTTCCTTTTTTTACTTTTTATCTTAGGAAATCGAGTTCCTGTCTTCATCGATTGCTCAGTTAAAAGTGGTGCAGACCAAGTTTGTAGAGGCCAAGGAATGTCTGAATGTTCTCCATAAAAGTAATGAAGGTAGGTGACCAGTATACTTTTCAGGTTTATTCAGTAAAAGGTCCAGTAGCAAAATGCGAATTTCACTGTACAGTACCCATCAAAACCAGAATATAAATTAAAATTCTGGTGCTCTGACCTCAGCAAATTTGGTCAGTTGCTATTGCTTTCTGTACTTTTTTAGTGTTTTTTTTTTTTTTTTTTTTTCTTCTTACACTTGCACTGTTTTATTGTATATGGCTGCTAATGCTCTTGGTGTGCTGGCGTATTATGCAGCCAGTGCTAACTATATTCTTTATTTTATTTTATAGGGAAACAAATTCTTGTTCCTCTGACAAGCTCTGTATCCTTTGCCTGGTTCATAGTGTTGTTGTTGTTTATTAAAGCCCAAACCTAAAATCAACAGGATGGAGAGGGATTGGAAAATCTGTCAGGTTTTTGTTTTATTGTGCCCCCGTTGGATAGAGTCATCCTCTCTGTTTGTCATGTTTACTGTTATCTCTGAAAGTGAATGAAGATCCCAAATTTTGGGTTTTCCCCTTTACGGTAATAGAGTAGAAATTTTCCAGTGTGTCTGTTTACACCTGCTTATCTCCTGGTCATGTAAAAAAATAAATGGAAAGACTGCATCCATTTCTGTTTTGGCGCACCGGATCAGAGGTAGTCTTATAAAAACTGATATATTACCTACCTCCCGCCGCCAGTGGACCGTGGATCTTCTCCTCACACCTGCTGTCACAATTTGAAACCAGTGTGGGCACATCATTCATTCACAGTTTTCTGTGAAAGAATAGACTGCAAGTACCTTCAGCATTTGTGGTTGACGACTTGTAGTTCTCAATGAACTGCAACTGCGATCTTCCTGCCCTCAGGTAACTGCGTGCCTGTATTGGTGGAATGGGCAAACCGCTGTCCTGAGAGTCTCCAAGTGCCTTGCATTGCAGCCATGATCTGTTAATTGTGGGTGCAATGCTCTGCAGTCTCCTTAGAAAAAAAAAAAAAAATCACAATTTTTTTTTAAACCTGCAAAAACAAATGTGCATTTATTATTTTTTTCAAAAGGTGAATTCATCCTTTTAAGCCTAACCTTTTTTTAACCCTTGTATATTTAAACTGAATTGAACATGTCACTTGAAACCTGTTTCATGTGCATAACTGCCATTTTTTCTCCTGGCAATTGCCCAACTCTTCTGAACACCTCGCAGGAGAAAAGCAGTGTGATTTAAAAAAAAGACACGCCTAAAGCAGTGTACAAAATGCACCTAAAGCCATGTTTTGCAAATGTGCTCAGGCACGTCAAACCTTTTGGCATTCATTTAATTGGCCAGAATATTATTTTATTCTGGGCATTGAAATGAATGAGCGTTCAAGCACTAAACATGCCTAGCATTTCTCCTGAATGTGCAAGTGATGTTTATTTTTTCCTGCCTTTGTAAACACCTATGTGTGCAAGGACATGTAGATAAACATGGAGGGCCATTTAGAGGCAGAAAAAAAATGCCAAATGCCCTTAAAAGCAGCGTTTTTGACACCCAGTGTGCATGAGGCCTTATGTGATAATGTTTCACATCCAGCTGATAGGTAGATGAGAGACTCTATAATAAAAGAGAGCCCAAATCGGTCGGGGGAACCAAACGGCAAAGATTCCATAATCTAGTGAAATTGTATTTTAAGCACATATAATTTAAATATACCCATAATTTTAGATCTACAGTCTAAACCAATTAAAGTAAGCATCTGTAAAGCGGATTCCTGTATGGATTGCACTTGTTTAGCGAGGGATCTGTCTGCTGATCCCCTTACTGAGCAGAGTGGGTAGATGACCGTTCCGTGTCAGCTCTGCTCTATGGTTGGTCAGGTGCAAATGGACTATCTGTCTGTTTACACCTGACTGCCCTCTGATCCGATCCACCCAGATGGAGGGGAACAAATCCTCTTCCATTTTTTTTTTTTTTTTTAAATTGAGCAGATTGGAGGTAGGCAGTTGTAATCAGACACAAGTCCATTTACATTTGTTGTTCCTTTAGAGATGAATGGAGGGTCCGATCAGATCCAAATGAAATACAAACAGGCGGGCCAAATCGGACTGATTGTGTGAAAGATGTCTTATCCTGTTTACAGGGATGATATCCAATGTAAGAACTGAAAGGGAAAATTATGAGTGATACATTTTTACACAAATGGTAATGCAACAAACATACTGGAAAATACACTGCTCTACAAAACACTTTGGAAACACATCAGATCTCATTGGGGAAAAATATGTTGGATATCTTCATTGATATGGACTGGGTGATGTGTTAGGAATGTAAGGAAGCCCCATCGTTAAATGAAAATGATCAATCTACAGAGGACTGAATGCAAAGACAGCCTGAAAATCAAAATGAAAAAATGATGCAGCAGGCTAATCCATTTTGCTGAAATTTAATTGCAGCAACTCAAAATGGTACTCAGTAGTTTGTATGGCCCCCACATGCTTGTTTGCATGCCTGACAACATCAGGGCATGCTCCTAATGAGAAGACAGATGGTGTCCTGGGGTATTTCCTCCCAGATCACTGAGCTCCTGGACAGTCTGAGGTGCAACCTGGTGGCGTCAAATGAACCAAACATGATATCCCAGAGGTATTTTTATTGGATTTAGGTCAGGCGAGCATGGGGGCCATTCAATGGTATCAATACCTTCATCCTCCAGGAACTGCCTGCATACTCTCTTTACATGAGGCCGGGCATTGTCGTGAACCAGGAGGAACCCAGGACCCACTGCACCAGCATAGGGTCTGACAATGGGTCCAAGGATTTCATCCCGATACCTCATGGCAGTCAGGGTGCCATTGTCTAGCCTGTAGAGGTCTGTGTGTCTCTCCATGGATATGCTTCCCCAGACCATCACTGACCCACCACCAAAACGGTCATGCTGAACAATATTATTATTTATTATACAGGATTTAAATAGCGCCAACAATTTGCGCAGCACTTTACAAAATGAAGGTAGATATAACAGTTACAATACAATTTAGTACAAGGGGAAACGGAGGGCCCTGCTCAATAGTGCTTACAATCTAGAACATAGGGTCCTCAGGTCACCCTCATGAGGTCTGTTTCTGATTGTTAGGTCAGAGACATTCACACCAGTGGCCTGCTGGAAGTCATTTTGTAGGGCTCTGGCAGTGCTCATCCTGTTCCTCCTTGCACAAAGGAGCCAATTCCGGTCCTGCTGATGGGTTAAGGAGCTTCTACAGCCCTGTCCACCTCTCCTAGAGTAACTGCCTGTCTCCTGGAATCTTCTCCATGCTCTTGAGAGTGTGCTGGGAGACTCCGCAAACCTTCTGGCAATGGCACGTATTGATGTGTCATCCTGGAGGAGTTGGACTGCCTGTGCAACCTCTGTACGGTCAAAGTATCGCCTCATGCTACCAGTAGTGACACTGACCCTAGCCAAATGTAAAACTAGTGAAAAACGGTCAGAAAAGATGAGTAGGGAAAAAAAATGTCAGTGGTCTCCACTTGTAAAAAAACAATTCCTGTTTTGGGGATCGTCTCATTGTTGCCTATCTGGTGCGCCTGTTGTTAATTTTATTAACACCAAAGCAGCTGAAACTGATTAACAACCCCCTCTGCTACTTTAACTGACTAGATCAATATCCCAGGAGTTTAATAGACTTGCTGTTATACTCTGATTAAAAAGAGTTCCTTTCATTTTTTTGAGGAGTGTATATTGAAATAAATGTCACAGATGAGATTTCTATCCATTGCACACATGTGCAGCATTTGTCACAGTAAGAAATATGTCATATATGAGATTTGTATCCATTTGCACAACTGCAGCATTTTTCACAGTAACAAGTAGCTGCTGGTTTAGGGATTTGACCCTTTAGCGAAATTGTTCGATTTTTAGAATGCTTGATAGAAGCATCTTGACTATGGCAGGTAACAGACCAATGGTCAGTTTTAAGAAATCATAAAAGCATAAAAGAACTGACGGGTTATAATCCTTCCCTATTTTATCTAAAACGAAAAAAACATTTTGTGTTTAGCTCTACTTTAAGGCAGTTGGAAACAGAGACCTCAGTTGAGTTTAAGCCAAGAAGGGGACATACCCCGAAAGCTTGTCCTAAAAATTGTATGTTAGTGCCAATAAAAAAAGTATCACGGACAGTACTCGATTGTTTCTGTCGCAAATGCACTATTACGGCTACAATCACCTCAAGCCTAACCCTTCAAACACTTGTATATTTAAACCTAACTGAGCATTTCACTTGAAACCTGGTGCAGGTGTCAGAACTGCCGTCTTTAGTATGTGATTGTGTTTCCCATCCAGCTGACAGGTAAATGAGAGAATCAATCATAACATGCAGCCCAAACAATTTTTTTTTTTTTAATTATTCAATGGATAAGGTGTGGAATCTCTATTGGGTACAATTCTAGCATGCGTGTGCACGCGCTCCCGTTAGGTAGATCACCTGAAGTTTCTTGTGTGGTCACTTTGTCAGAAAGCACAACTGAGACACAAACAATAAAAACACCTTTCTAAGGGCTCGTTCACACTAGGCTGTTTTGCCAACGCTTGCCAAACGCCCCTATAGCGTTTGGCAAGCGTTGGTCCGGTGTTTGCGAAGCGTTTTTAACGCTCGGCAAACGCTCCGCAAACGCCGCATGCGTGGTTTAGCGGCGGTTGCTAGGCGTTTGCCGAGCGTTAATAACGCCCCACAAACGCCTATAATGCATTTGAGTGGTGTTACCGCGCCGCAAACACCCCGCAACCGCGTCACAACCGCACTGCAAACGCCGGCCGGGCGTTTGCGGAGCGGCACCATAGACGAGAATAGGAGGCTTCAAAGCCTCCTGACTCGACCAGAGGCGTCCGTTTTGCCGCGACGCGACGCAAACGCTCCTGTTAGAACAGCACCATGTGCTGTAATGTGCAGAATTGGCAGAGGCGTTTGGGAAGCAGTAAAAACGCTTCCCAAACGCCTCTCTGCCACCTGCACACAAGGCTAGTGTGAACGTAGCCTTATGGTAGTGGTGAAGTTAGTGTTTTTAGTAGCCAGACACCTGTGAAATCCCCATATATTCTATGGAGTTGACCGCTAATTCTGGCATAGTTTTAAATCAAAGGGCTGTACTGTTGTGTATACCCACCATTTCCAAATTTTGTTAAAATTAATTGGACAGCCCATGTCCTAGGTAAGTTTATAACGCAGGTGATTACTATTTATATAAGATTAATATACTCTTATTGTAGGCCTACGGCTCAGTTTGTGATATAAGAGTATATATAAGAGTAATCTGTTTTGAAAAAAGCTTGGAGAATTGCAGACCTTCACTTTTGTAATGACAAGCTGCCTGGCTTACTCTCCTTTTTCAGTAATTAGAACTCATCTGCATACTTTTTCTTGGGTTAGGGATCCATATTTTTCTCTGCCTTTACTGGTTTTCATTATTCCAGCACAGTAAATGAAAAAACAGGTTAGAATGATAGCCAAGCCCCTAGCTTTTTTTTTTTTTTTTTTCTGTGGAGATCCGCAATGGCAGCTGTCATCTTGCCTTTCATGACTGACTGATACACTTCAAAGCCCTGTATCTTAGCAAACATAAAAAAAACTATGTAATTAATGGGAAGTACAGGTTAATCCTATTTCAAGGCTTTATCACTGTGGCAGAGGGATATATTGTTTGAAAACTGTATAGATATGTTCCTTTCCTTACCTCTTCCATACAACAGATGTATGTGCCTGGAACACTTAGCAATGTCTCTAATGTGCTAGTAGATGTGGGAACTGGATACTATGTAGAGAAGGTATGTTTTTCAACTATGAACTGACACTACATCTGCAGATGTAGCACCAAAATGGTATAGTAATAGAAGTAATTATTTCATATCTGGATGCACATATCAGGAAATCTTCGTATCTTAAAAAAAAAAAAAATCTGGAATTTTCACCTGCAGCTTGTGGCAAGCCTAATTAAACCACGTCAGTCATTCCTGTTCTTGCCTTTTTAGATCATTTTAAGTCAAATTCCTAGATTATCTATAACAGCCTTTGCCAACCATGGCATCTCCAGAGGTTGCTACAGATGCTATGAGGCTGACTAGCTAAAGGAGAAGTTCACTTTAAATTAAAAAAAAAAAAAAAAAGTGCATTTGGGTTTTTTTGGGTTTTTTTTTTTCTTTAAGTAGACTGCAGAGCATTGCACCCACGTTCAGCAGATCCATCACTGTCAAACAGTTGCTGAAAAACAGGAAGAATCGATGAACTAAAAGAGGGCTCATTAGTGCCCTCTCAGTTTTTTGAGAACTGCAGTACAAGCCATCTGCAGTGGTGGAAGATGATACTTGTTGTTCATGCCTTCACAGAACTCTTGTGAATGAATGACGCATGTGTGGGCGGAGACCCGCACAACCATCCTGTTTTTAAATTGTGACAGCGGGTGTGCGGAGAGGACCCCCTGCTCTCTGTCATGGGGGAAAGGTGGCATCGGCAGTGCAGGGGGAGGTTGCTGAACATGTTAATATGTTACACTCTAAATACGGATGTAACATGTTCAAAAAGGTGAACGTATTCTTTAACCATTTTTCCACTGATCATCAATGTATAAGGGCCATTGCTCTGCCAACCGCCAATGTACAGTAGCTATTTCTGTACCAACCACCAATGATAGGTTCTGCTACAATTTTACTATCTAGATTTTCTTTTCTGGCAGTTGTTACTTGTTTAATTTCTTCATTACTAAAGAAAACATTTTGTCACACCCTGGCCTGCAGCTGTTCTATAGAGCTGACTTTTGATTGAACACGTAGAGCAGTTCATGCATTCCTTGTTTTCTCTTCAGTTTCTTTGTGGTTGTTACATTTCAGTATGTTTTAAATATTTTTTCATCTCTGTGAATTAATAAACCTCTCTTTAGACTGCTGAAGATGCCAAAGATTTCTTTAAGAGGAAGATTGACTTCCTTACAAAGCAAATCGAGAAGATTCAGCCAGCTCTACAGGAAAAGCACGGCATGAAACAAGGTAAGGCCCATTACTTTGACTGATGACACAGTTAGGAAATAGTTTAACTTTAATTTTCTTCTGTTTATTCCTCCCTTGTCACATGAGAAAGGAGTTTAACCAAGAAGTTAAACATATTAGTTGTCCCATTTTAGGGTAGGTACACACTACAGCGAGTGTGTCAGCACATACAGTGCATGCATGGACATGTGCTGGTGACATGCACTGTTGTGTGTTGCAGTGCCTTTTCTATTAATTTCTTTTTTAATAACAGTTTCTTTTTGTTTAATGTGCTGCAAAAATGTAAAATGATTCCTGCACGTTTACAGTGTACACAGAGCATTAGAGTTATACAAAACAAGGTTTTTTGCCTTGCCCATCTGTTGGGACTGCATTAAGCCCTTGCTGTATGCTGTCAGTTATGCTGGCTGCCGACAGCGCGATTGACGGATCTACTTCGGGGACATTCTTTTATTTTTCTTCTTTTAATAAAGGACTTGTCCAAAACTGTTTCCTGTCTTTTTTCACACTACACTTTTTTTGTGAATGAGTAGCGGTACCATTTTGTTTTTTTTTTGTTTTTTGGTGTGGGGGTTCCCCTCAAAATCCAAATTGGATCTGAAGGGCTTGGTATGGATGAAGGGGGAGACCCCACATCATTTTTAAAATAATTTAATTGCCGGCAATTTTTTTTTATTTATTACATTCAGCTGTCATGGGGAACCCCGCTGACAGCTGATGACTAAAAACAGAAGTAAACTCACCTGTTTTTTATTTTAATAAACATGACTGAACTGATGAAAAAAACAGAATGCCATATGAAAGGACCCTTAAGCAGTTGTAAATGCTTTTTTGTTTTTTGGGGTATTTTTTTTTTTAATAATAAACATGTTTATACTTTCCTGCTCTGTGCAATGGTATTGGATTTCTGGGGTTCCCTGCCAGCGCTCTCTGCTCCTCCTCTTCTTGTAATGCCCCCATAGCAAGCTGCATGCTGTGGAGGCACTTGTATGGACGCAGTCCCAAGCCGATCTGTGTGCATACATAGAAACACTGTGCAGATCGCTGCTGCCCTCCGCTCCCATGACTTGATTGACAGCAGCAGAAGCCAATGTTTTTCTCAGAGACAGTGGTCACCAGATAGAGGGGTGGATCTCCCCACAGGGGACACAAACAGCAAAACAAAACTTGACTGAGGGTCTAATCTTTCCATAATCCAAAACTTACGTTTTGCATTACATACAATTGAAGTGGTGCTGTTGTAGTTTTATAAATTAGGGCCTTGATTATTTTACACATGCAACAATGTGCAAGGTGGTAATATTTTGAAGATACATCCTAACATACTTTCCTAATATCAAACTACAGCAGAAAGAAAGTTTAACTTATCTTTTTTAATTTTTAGAATAAAGCATGGTCAGTAAGGAGCAGTTTTATTTTTTTGCTTTTGCCCTGTAAGGTAATCTTAAATTGCTTGGGCTTGTTCTTCTACATCTTAAGTCTTGCTGTGGGCACAAAAAAAAAAAAATCCAGATAAGTTGTCAATGTCTATATTGTGTTTGTTTTTTTAATTTGATACTCCAAATGCATCTGTGAAATCATTGATCTTTTTTATTCTGTTATCTCTGCAGCTGTCATAGAAATGATGAGCATAAAAATCCAGCAGTTAACAGCGGCCCAGGCAGGGACATCCAAGGCTTAGCCCTGTCTCCAGAGCGTGCCCCAACATTTCCCCCTCACAGCAGATGCTGCACCATCTTTCTGCAGTGAAGGCTGTTTCTTGGTATCCCTGGCCTTGCCTTGCAGTAAACTCCGTCACTACCGCAGATACCAGCGGAGCATCGTCTCACAGACTGCGTGACAACTCTCCTGCTTTCTCAGCCAAGGGATTAATTTATTTTTCTTTTTTGTTTTTATTTGTGTCTGGGAAATATAAATACATTCAAATTTATTGAAATGATGAATTTTCTTTTAATAATGTGTCATGTTTCTTTGTGTTTTCTGAACCTGTGCTAAATAAAAAATAGTTGTGCTGTTGCTAACTTGTTTTTGGAAGGCGTGGGATTGTTGTTCTTCACTACCCAATGAGTCCTTAACCCTGATAAGAATGTGCCTATCAGGGGTCCTTACCTCTGATATACATATGCTTGTTGAAGGTTGCTGCCTTACCAAATAGTGAAGAAGGGATAAGGATAACAAGCCTTGGAGCATGCACCTTCGAAACAAGTTAGCAAACTCATCTTCCACATTTCTCTGTTGAAGATTTCTTTTAAAGTGAACCTGTTTTGAGAGAAGGAGGCTGCCATTGTTGACTACCTGAAAATGCTAGTTGCCTGGCAACAGTAAATTAAGACCCTGTCCTGGAAAAAGTAATCAAATCAGGAAAGTCATATTAAACTCTAAATCTGGATCATCATCCCCCTCTCAACCAGGGTTCTTTCAGAGGTTGTTAAGGGTTCTTTGAGCTGTGGCTGAATGACCTACAAGTTGATGGTGGCCACATAGTTCCAGGACCATGCCACTTGGCAAGACACCAATGACCTTTTTTTAGCTGTCTTTAAGGGTGGCATACTTACCACAAATTGTAATTGGCATTTTTCCCTTTGACCCCAAATTGATTTAAGCAAGGGCTCCCCAAGACCTGAAAACGTTTAAGGATTCCTCTGGGGTAAATAAGTTGAGTAAGGCTGATGTAAATATGTCTGAAAAGTTAGTGACCTAAAAAGTACTGCAGCTGTTTCATTATTATGACAGCCTGGGGGCTAGTTTATTTAGAAAAGAAGGGTTCAAAAAATATGCAATGGCGGCCTATGTTTCCTTTAAAACAGAGGACCCCCAGACTGTACCCTGAGGGCCAGATGCGGCCCTTTTTCCTAGCCTTTATCTGACGCTTGTGGCACTATTCCTCTCACGGATACCAGTGATTGGGGCACTACTCATCCTCCTACTGACCACCAACGCTGAGACCATGTTTATTCTCACTGATGCTGGGCCTAGGACATTTTCTACCCCCCACTGGCCACAATCCACTCCCCCTAAAGTCTGAAGTACAGTAAACTGGCCCTTTGATTTTAATGTTTGGAGACCCCCTGCTTTAAGGTATTGACCATCTTAATTTACAATTGGATTTCCCAGCTTAAGGGGGTAACATTATTCTAGGTATAGGAAATAACCACTGAGTAAAGATTGCATATTGTATGGGGGGTTTATAAATAGCCAGATACATTTCACAGGAATATGGACTATCTTAGGGCATATAAGTAGCATTAGCATTGTGGAAACTAGCAAGGGTACAATGTGTGTGCTGGGCACCTGTCAGGGTTGTAGTGCAAAAAACACTTAACTGCTCCCTATTAGAAATGTTAACTTTTATATTCATATGCAGCACATTCAATATATACCACACAATATGCAATCTTCAGAATGCTACATCCTACAATATGCAGATTTTTTCCCCCAAAAAAGTGACCAGCGCTCTGTGACTTTAAATAAAGAAATGGCAAACGTATAAATAAATAATTTGCAAACCATTAAAGTGTCCACTCTGATTTACAAAATGCTAATTAATCCCAAAGTAACCAGTGCTTGAAAATAATTGTGTATTTATATATTCTTTTGCCTGTGGATATGTAAAGTCACAAAGCACAGGACACTTTTTTGGAATAACTTGAATAGTAGAGCAAGTATAGAAAAATCTGCATATTGTAGCATTTTGAAGATTGCATATTGATATTAGTTTACACTTCTAGTAGGAAACGCTGCATAGTTGAAATCTAAATAGAGCTAGGCACATTTGAGTGCTTGGGTGCAGCAGCTGGTTAGCAGTCTAATAGTTGTGACATTTATCCAAAAAAACACTTAAGACCAGTTCACGCCAGAATGCGGTTGGGTAAACCTGTGTTTCATGCAGGTTTTCCACACTGCATTCAAAACACACTGCAGTTGCAGTCTGTGGTGGATGTCAATAATAATGGTAATGATGCCGCAAGTGCAGTGCGTTTGCTGGCACTGGATCACATGATACAAAAGTACCATGCAATGGAATTGCAGTGAGTTTACAAAAGTAGTGCATGCACTATTTTTGGTGTGATTTCAGCCCATCAAAAATGAGTAGGCTGAAATCCCACCACACAGAACTGCATGTAAATTACATGGGAACGCACAACACATTCCTGTGTGATTCCTGGTGCAAATTGGTCCTTAAAGGGGGTTGGATCTCCGGGATTCCAATCTGTATTTATACGGGGAAGCATTAAAACCGATGTAATGTGGTCAAGAATGAAGTGGTGTTTATATGTATGACTTTTTTTGGTATAGCTTTTAGATATGAAGGTTCAACCACTCATTAGCCCCAATTTTAAGTACATCACCCTTCTTCATCTCAGATACAAAATGTTTTATTTGGCATTTCATATTTTATCCAAAGATTTAAACCGTTACAATTTCTAGCCAAATAAAAAATGCTGTATGCCCAAATAAGCATTTTCACATGACTTTCAATCTTCAGTGCTTCCTACTATATACAATACATGTACTGTATTTGCACAACATATTTGCAAAGATATCCATTTGATGTTGCTATATCTTTTTTTAAAAATGGTTTCATTTTTAGAGCGGGATCCTTGCGCACATATGCATTTAGAGGCAGAAAAAAAAAAACATAATTTGCATGTTCAGTAGAGGAGTGTCCCCAGCAGAAAAAAAAAAAAACCCACCAGATGTGCTTGAGCATTCGTTCAATTTCACTGGCCAGAATTAATATTCTGGCAAATGAATAAACACCTGACAGACCTAGACACGTTTTTTAATGCTGTTTTCCTCCTTCCAGGAGAAATTGCAACTGTTCAAATGCCCAGTGTGCATAAGGCCTAAAAATGCAAAACTTCATTAAACAACATGCCTGGAAAATGCCCTGACTCTGTGAAATGCTCCATCAGTGCGTATGCAATCTACTACAACAACACTGATGGTTACGCTTTATTAACGCAGAGGGGCTGGTATTTCAGGGGGCCCCTTATTGTTAAAGGGGGCTTCCAGATTCTGATAAGTATAAAGTTTGGGGGAACTGCACCATTTTTTGTTGCATTATTTATATGCATAGCAGACCTAAATAACATGGTATGAATTATAGTGGAATTCCTAAGCTATTTTTTAACTATCTGCACCCCTTTGCTTACATGGACAGTGATTCCCAGCCATGTAAGAGAATGGGGATGGGAGTGCAATAATAACCCTAACATTGGTGTCAGAGACTGCAATAATAACCCCCAACATTGGTGCCAGTGATTGCAATAATAATAAACCCTGACATTGGTGTCCATGAGGGCAATTACAACTCCCAACATTGCAGTCAGTCACTGAAATAACCCCCACCATTAGTGTTAGTGACTGAAATAATAACCCCCAATACTGGTGCCAGTGATTGCAATAATAACTCCCAAGATTGATGCCAGTGACTGCAATAACCCCCAAAATTGGTGTCAGTGATAGCAATAATAAATCCTAATGTTGGTGTTAACGACTGCAACAACAACCCATAACACTGGTATTAGTGACTGCAGTAATAACCCCTAATATTGCTGTCAGTGACTGCGATGATAACCCCCCAACATTGGTGACTGTGATGATAACCCCCCACATTGGTGTCTGACTGCGATGATAACCCCCAACGTTGGTGCCAGTGATAGCGATGATAACCCCCAACATTGGTGCCAGTGACTGTGATTATAGTCCCCACAACATTGGTGCCAGTGACTGCGATGATAACCCCCCACATTGGTGTCTTACTGCGATGATAACCCCCAACGTTGGTGCCAGTGATTGCGATGATAATCCCCAAAATTGGTGCCAGTGACTGCGATGATAGTCCCCAACGTTGGTGCCAGCGACTGCGATGATAATCCCCAACATTGGTACCAGTGACTGCGATGATAGTCCCCAACGTTGGTGCCAGTGACTGCGGTGATAATCCCCAACATTGATGCCAGTGACTGCGATGATAATGCCCCCAACATTGGTGCCAGTGACTGCGATGATAACCCCCAACATTGGTGCCAGTGACTGTGATGATAACCCCCAACACTGGTGCCAGTGACTGCGATGATAACACCTAACATTGATATCAGTGACTTCAATAATGAACCCCCCAGAATTGGAATTGGTGCCACACAATACCCCCAGGAATGGTATCAGTGCATCAAAAAAAAACCCAGTGTGCATGTTTGGGGTTCAGGGGAGTATATGCAGAAGGATGAGGGATACAGCAGGCAGTGGGAGAGGTTGTAGATGAAGAGGCAGTAAGGGCAATGCAACAGGATGTGAAAATAAAGGCGAGAGTGCGAGAAGGATGTCAGCCAGGTGTATGGTGACAGGAGGAAATCTGGAGGTGCGGACAGAAGGGGAGGTTGGGCAGGTGCAGAGGTGGTATAGTCTGTGACTGAAAGTGCTAGTAATGGAAGAGAATGAGAACAATGTTAGCCAGGAGTATAGTGCTTGAGAAGGAAAGTATGAGCTCCATAAGAGGCAGAGGGATTTTGGGCAGAGGCAGTGACAATGTTACAGGCCGTGTGGGTGACTAAAAGAATTCAGAAGGGAAACAAATGGCAGGAATTTGGTGACGGAAGAGGGATAGAGGTACAGACAGGAGAACTAATAGTGGCAGAGCTCTAAGAAGACCCGGCAGGTAAGATGAATTGCCGATTT